TGGCCACTCCACTCAGCCCCCTTCCATGACCATGCCGGGTTTTGGTGGAAACCAGCTTCCTGTTATGGGACAGATCAAAGTTAGGGGCTCTTCGTGCCTAAACTGAGCTGGGGAAAGGTAGTTGTGGAATGAAGCAGCTGAAGGAGTCTTTGCTCAGGACCTGGGTGCCACCTACTGGTCGTGTTTAGTTCCATGTATGGGGCCAAACCCAGGACAGGAAAACCTAAAGGGCACCCTATCCTACCTAGCATAACAAGGGATAAAGAAAGGGGAAGGTTTGATTTCTTTGTGAAGTTCCAGCAAGTGTGACAGAAGATCTTTGCAGAGACCCCTGGGTGTCTTGCAGAGACCCAGGGGACCTATAGGTCCTGAGCCAAGATGGGTCCCAAGCAGGGCAGAGAGAGACTTATCTAAGGGCAAACCTGAGCCAGTTCTCAGTAGTAACAAAGGCTCTGGTCCTAGTGTTAGCTACACTCCTTCCCTAAAAGCCCTGTGGGGTAACAGCATTATTGATTACTAAGCCCTGAAAGGAGAAACTTTCAATTCCCTTCTATAGGCAGTTACCACCTTAGATACATTTTTGGGTGTTTTGTGGTACTAGGGTCAAAACCCAGGGCCTTTCACATGTTAAACAAATGTTCTACCGCTGTGAGCTACACCCCTAGGCCTGCACTGTTGCACTTTTGCACCTAGATTCAGACTGAACAGAAGAGTAGGAATTTCCCTCTCATCCTCAGGCACTGGCAGAACTGGGAATTTGGGCCAAACTGAGAAGACCTAGATATTTTTCAAGTAGCTGTGTAGCTCTTGGTGTTCCTAATAGCAGGGTATTCTGCTGTGTTATGAAATCCAGGGAAACAAGATTTTTCGTGTTATCAAGGAGGAAGATGGCTAAACCACCCCGCACAGGGAGATGAGAGAACATCCCAACCTCCCAATGTGTGCCATTGCAACACAGGCCTGTAAATCCCAGCTAAGTGCCAGATGAGGACTATGGTTTTTATACTCAGCTGTGTTCCAGAATCACCTTGGGTATTAAAAACAAAATCCTGTGTGTGTTATATATGTTAATACATACAACCTACACACACACATACACACACACACACGCACACACACACACACACACAGGCTTCTCCAAAGTGAAGAACCCATGGAATATGTGGAGTGGGCTTAGGCCTTCAGTAAATCTAGCCCTATGGAACACCAGGAAGGCTGCCCTCAAAAACCAGAGCACACATTTGGACTAGGACATTTGCCTCCACTTTTTTTCAGTAATCAGCCTTTGAAACTCAACCATTAAACAGAACAGAATCCCTAACACGGCTCAGTAATTCTCAGGGCCAACCTAAGAACACCCTAGCGGCTCCGAACCACCTGTGGCCAGCCCAGAGCCTCTGAGGCCCAGTATAGTGCCAAGCATAGTTGGCCAAGAATCAGGCTGCCCAAGGGGCCCAGAGACAAAATGGCCCCAGGGCCTCTTGGGGAGTTGCGTCTCTGAGCCTGTGGAAAGTTCCTGGATAGCCGTTTGGGCCAGTTACCAGAGCAGCTCATGCCCTTGTGCAGCCAGCCCCAGTTGGCCTCTACAGACCTGCCAGAGTCTGACCACTCATACCTGGGGCCATTCAGCTCCAACTCTCTCTGATCTGCGCGTTCTCTCCTTCTTGATTTCCTGTAGCACTTATTTGCACCCCATTTGGGGACATTTGGTTCTACTATTCTCATATGTTCCAGGAAGATTATAAACTCATTAGTGGCAGGGCAAATCTTTTTAATTCCTTGTAGTATGTAGCAAAATAAATACTCATGGAAATAAAATACACTTTCTTTGACCCTTCCCATTCTGCCTCTTTAGAAGCTTAGTGTCCACCCATCCATCCACCCCCACTGCTAGTACTTTAGATGAGTCCCCTGGCAGCTCAGAAATTCCTCCAGGCCAGAATCTGTCATTCCCGTCCACCAACCTGCTTAGGCAGTTACTGTCCACTGAGGAATGGTCTCGATCCCAAAGGACGACAAAACAGCCTGGCCCCTGAAGAGCTCACAGTCAGGTGGAAGGGACAGGCACACAGAGGATTTCATGAGAATGTGACAAGTGCCTTGATAAGCCACGTCAGAGTGCTACAGGGACAGAGGAGAGGCATGAATCCCACACAGGGCTTCAGAAAAATTTTCCTAGAGGGGCTGGGGATTTAGCTCAGCGGCACAGCGCCTGCCTGGCAAGCGCAAGGTCGTGAGTTCGATTCCCAGTACCGGAAAAAAAAAACAAAAGAAAAATTTTCCTAGAGAGGATCCTGAAGCCAGGTCCTACCCAGGTCCTACAGATTGGGTAGAGTTGGGGGACCCAGACCGGAAGGTGATAAAAGACAAAGGACAGAAGTAGGTGCCACTCAGTCCTTCAACTTTACTGAACACTGTGCTTGTGACAAATCCACCCTTGACTTCACGGCACTTCCTGACGGGGTGGGGTGCTGGGGTGGACAACAAGCCTGGTGGTGAGTATGAGGGTTGGGGTACAGGGCAGTGGACACAAAGTCATTGTCTGAAAGGCTCAAGTACAGTCAAAATTACCCTGGGAAACTTCTAAAATTGCCAGTTCCTAAGTCTTCAGAAGCTACCAGGACAATAATTGTTGTTTCTCTTGGCTTCTGTGCCCTGGCTGGCCTCCCTTTCCCTGAGCAGTGAAGGACAAGGCTTTATTTCAAGGATGAAGGACTAGGAGTAAATAAGAGAGTTTTATCTTGTTTTTATTCACAAAAGCTCGTTTAAGTTAGATATGCATATAATGAGGTCCAGCTAGGTGGATATGCGTAGGGCCAAGGCTGGGCCTAGCAGGATAACAACACCCAGCAGGTGCCCCTCTCTAAAGCAGTGCCATCAGAAAGACAAAGGACAGAAGTAGGTGCCACTCAGTCATTCAACTTTACTGAACACTGTGCTTGTGACAAATCCACCCTTGACCTCACGGCACTTCCTGACGGGGTGGGGTGCTGGGGTGGACAACTGCACCTGCGGAGCTACTGCACCTCCTGGCCAAAGACAGACCCTGATTCAGTAAGTCTCGGGTACAGCACAAGAACTGGAATGTTAACAAACTGGTACCCAGACAGTTCCATTGCTGCTGAGGCAGGGACCACGGTTTGAGAACCACTGGAGCAGTGAATGAGGAGCCTGGGGGATGGGAATAGCCTTCCAGACAGAGGGCAAGTAGGGACCTGTCTTTTGGGAGAAAAGGCTGAAGAGATGGGGTCTGCTTAGGGTTAGATCAGTGGGAGGGAGGGGTCACAGTAAAAGAGCAGCTGCGGACAGGGACAGGGAAGTGGACCGGGTACATTCTTACATCATAGAGACCCTGCAGGCTAAACCCGTGGAAATAGTCTTCACTCCAGAAATACGGCTCTCACAATGCTCGGAATACAGGGTCCTTTTGGTCTGTCCTGTTTCTGTGTTTCTGCTAAAGGCTTAGTTAAAAGAAATAGTTCCTTCTTCTGCCCTTTGGCCTTTGTGTAAGGATGGGGTAGGGAGGCGCTCACCCCTGCTCTCCAGATGGGGGTGCCTCTGCTCAGCACCACCTGTTGGTCGCAGTGCAGGAACACAGGTCCAGAGCTGCCAAGAGAAACCAGAAATCCCGTGTTGTTTGTATGAAACGCCCCGACTTTAAAATAGTGGGTACTGTCTCAAATAATTTCCAACATTGCGAGTGCTGCGCAGTTCAAGCCCGCAAGGCAAATTCGGTCACAGTGTCTTACAGGCTTAGAGCTGGGATGTGGGTGGCCAGGCCTGCATTTAGACAAGGGGATGACCATGAAAGAGGGAGACGCTGAGGGCTGGAAAGCATTTTAGGAAGCTCCTGGTGGCTTTGGCTAAAGAGAAAGTAAGGGGCTGGTGATATAGCTCCGTGGTACAGCGCCTACCTGGCAAGCGTGAGGTCTTGAGTTCAAGTCCTGATACCAAAATTTAAAAAAGAAAAAAAAAAAGAAAGTCAGCCCAAGGGTGGGCACATCCCAGCGTACTGAGAAGGGAGGGTTGAGGCAGGAACAAATAGATGTGTTCAGGAACAAGAGCAGACTGACTACAGTGACCCCAGAGATTTTTAACTCAGGTGATTGGGGCCAGTGGTGACATTGACTTTGATAATGGATATAGGAGCAAATGCATGTGTTTTAAGAGGCTCTGGAATTCTGGGTCAGCCAGCAGGCTGTAAGACACAGGAATAGGGAGTCAGAAGTCAGAGGAGAGGCTTTCTAGAAGACGGATCTGATCAGGTTACTGTCTGCTTAAAATCTTGTGCTGGCTTCACACTGACTAAATAGAAAATCCAGACTCCTTCTCGTAGTAAACAAAGCCCTTCCAGATCTGGCCTGGCCAACCCCGTTGCACCACGCCCAACACAGAACCTGTTTCCTGGGCTTGCTGAGCCACTCAGAGTTCCCGGAATAAGCCATGCCTTTGTTCTGACTGCTCCTTAGGCATGCAGCGCCCTCCTACCCCATCTTTTGTCGGGAAAATTCCATCTCCTTTTAGGCTCCAAAATGTCTGCTCCGAAGCCATCACTGACCCTACCAAGCAGAAGAGATCACGCCCTCGACTGTGCATCCACAAACTTTGCTGTGCTTCTCTTAAGGCCTCATCTCCCACTGCTGGGGAGATTTGCCTGGAAAGCAGAGACAGTCTCTTAATTAACTCTATCACCAGCTCTAGCACATAGTAGATACTATTTAAATGTTTAAAAAACAAGCATAGGGCTGGGGATTTAGCTCAGCGGCAAAAGCACCTGCCTGGCAAGCACAAGGTCGTGAGTTCAGTTCCCGGTACCGAAGAAAAACCAAAAAAAAAAAAAAGAACAAGCATGGGCCGCTTTCCTTGGATGGTGAACTTCAAGGCTGGTCTGAGGGCAGTGCTGCTTGTTTCCCCAGGTGTGCCTGGCCCCCTCCTCTCTCCTTGCCGTGGAAAACAACACGAGTGTCTCATGCCGACCTCACCTCTCTTTTTCTTTGCAGCTGGGGAATGGCCGTCAATGTGTACTCCACATCTGTGACCAGTGAAAATCTGAGTCGCCATGATATGCTTGCATGGGTCAATGACTCCCTGCACCTCAACTACACCAAGATAGAACAGCTCTGTTCAGGTAGGAGGCTGTGACCCAGAGGTGACCTTGCTGGAGGGAAAGGAAGGGAACGCCCAGAAGGCAGAACAGCAAAGGGGGGGGGGAGACGTACCTTGTAATTAGCATGGAGGAGAGCTGGAGAGACCGCAGTAGTCACACCACCTGGAGTGGAAGTCAGGAAAGTGGGGTAGGGAAAGTGGGGTATCAAGAGCCACTATAGGCCGAAGCTACAGGTTCACACAGGAACTCCAGTGCAGTCACTCTGGGTCCAACTTTCAGCACCTCATCTGTCTGCTGCAGCCCTGGACAAGTCACTACATTTTTCTAGGTATCAGTTTTCTCATCCATATGATGGCGATGCAGTCACCTATTCACGGTTCCTATTGTAGTTACTAGGATAGACCTACATATATGCAGTGCTAGAACAGGATACGCATCAGTAAATACTAAGAGGTTTATGCTTGGACAGCTAGGGGAGTCTGGTCATGTCTAGCCTGAAAGTAGGACTGGCTCCAGCTGCAGACTAAGGAGACAGAAGAGAGGTCCAGGGTTTGGGGAAGAGACCAACAAAGGGCCTAGGGGTGAGAGAGTGGCTGGGGCCTGCCTCAGTCAGTTGTGCCTCTCCACAGGGGCAGCCTACTGCCAGTTCATGGACATGCTCTTCCCTGGCTGTGTGCACTTGAGGAAGGTCAAGTTCCAGGCCAAACTAGAACACGAATATATCCACAACTTCAAGGTGCTGCAAGCGGCTTTCAAGAAGATGGGTGTTGACAAAGTAGGTGCCTGCACCCCAGGGGGCCCTGAGGAGCTGTGTGCCCCTGGGGAAGAAGATGCCCTGACAGCCACAGCCAGGGTGCTGGGCTGCTTGGATTTTCCAGTACACCTCTCTCTCTCCCCACCCCTGGCTCTCCCCCAGTCAAGACACATCCCATTATGACCTACATTCCTTTCCCTCTCTCCTCCACTGACCCTTCCTGCCCCAGACACAGGTTCAGTATATGGCTCCTGTTATGTCTCTCCATAGGGCCAAAGAAAAGTCTCTTTGCTCATTCTCCAGCCTTGACGGCCCCAGGACTGTGGGTCCTGAGCCTCCAGCCCACATGTGGGCAGCGGGACCAAGGGAAGCGTGCCCACACGGTTCCTCCTGTGCCTACAGGACCCATGGCAGTGCCTGCCAACCTGCCTGTCACCTACCTGTCTGCTCTGGGGCCATGGGAAGGGGGTAGGTGGAGAAGGTGAACAGTGCTGCAGCCCAGGGCCTGGCTTTCCTGAGGGCAGTGGCCCCTCACAGAGGAAGGCGGCCCTTCGCAGCAGGTAGCTAAAGTGCTCTGCTTGTGTGGTCTATTTCAGATCATTCCTGTAGAGAAATTAGTGAAAGGAAAATTCCAAGATAATTTTGAGTTTATTCAGTGGTTTAAGAAATTCTTTGACGCAAACTATGATGGAAAGGATTACAACCCTCTGCTGGCGCGGCAGGGCCAGGACGTAGCACCGCCTCCTAACCCAGGTGATCAGATCTTCAACAAATCCAAGAAACTCATTGGCACAGCAGGTAACGTGCCCGAGCCGGGGGAGGGATTTGAGGGGCCCGGCCGGCAGGGCTCTACAGCCACGAGTGCCCCCAGGGCCACCGGCCTGGCCCTGCCACCCTGGAGGAGACTGTTATCACGGAGTTCAGATGACGCCACCTGCTGCCCACTTAGACTGGGGAGTTCCTGTGGGGGGTGAGAGGGTTCCAAAAATTGCTCTGTGAGGAGAGCCGCCTGCACCAGCCGTGGTGGCAGCTGAGGCCCAGGGCACCTCTTTTTGTAACATGAGCTAACTTGTTTGCCTCAAGATACTGTGGCAGCAGGGTGGCATGTTTCCTCTGCACAGGTCCATCAGGCCACGGCCCGGGTGCCAGCACCACAGCCCTTTCTTGCCACTGGCCCCTGGATAACCAGGGGCAGGAGTTTGCCAGGCTTGACCCTATCCTCCCCTAATTCAAATCCTCAAGATGAATCTTGAGAACTCTTTCCAATGCTAGAGGGACAGGGAAAGAATCAGTAGGGCCTTTGGGGGACAGGAAGGTTGGGGAAGGGCAGGGAGAGGAGCAGCCCCAGCCCGCGTCTGACCCGTCATAGCAGAGCCACCTCCTCCAATTTGCACTGCTGTCCTGCCTGGGCCCGTCCCCATTCACCTGCTTGCTTGGCATTAGAAGCGGCCGCTCTGTTGAGGGAGGTGCAGTGCTGAAAAGCAAGTGGCCACAGCATGTGGGCTAGAGCTGGGCTCCCTGAGACGGCCACTGCCACACCCAGCAGAGGGCAACAGAGCCCATCCTGAGACAGACTGGAGGGGCAGGGCCAAGCTTTGTGGGAGGGTGGCTTTGGGCTGGGGCTTCTGTTGGGATGACCTGTGCCAGCTGCTTTTCCTCAGGCTCCAGCTGTCAGTACAAGACAACCCTGAGCCCCACTTCCCCGATTTCCCCAACTTCCCTCAGGCCAGCTCTCTCCGTGCCTCAGTCCCTCACACCTTCCCTTAGTTCCCTGTGGTTGCTGCTCTCCCAGGCTTGCCAGAGGTCTGCCTCGCTGCTGTAGTGTCATGTGTGGCCGAGGCCTGAGGCCTAGATGTAGATGTCCTTCCTGAGGGGAAACGTCTGCCTGTTGCATGGGCCTGCCCCCAAAATCCTCACACCAGGCTGTCTCGAGCCACATGAGTACCAGCCTTATCTGACTCTTCTCCTCTGGGCAGTTCCACAGAGGACGTCCCCCACAGGCCCCAAGAACATGCAGACCTCTGGCCGACTGAGCAACGTGGCCCCACCCTGCATCCTCCGGAAGAATCCCCCATCAGCCCGAAATGGTGGCCACGAGACCGATGCCCAGATTCTTGAACTCAACCAACAGGTAAATGCGATGGGTAATGGTAACTCTGCCACGAAGTCCAGGGGACCTTGCGGCATCTGCAAGGACAGGAGGAGGGCAGGCAGGGGAGTCTGAAGCAGGGACATCTGCCTTGAATGCTGCCTTCTGCCCAAGCAGCTCCTAGACTTGAAGCTGACCGTGGATGGGCTGGAAAAGGAGCGTGACTTCTACTTCAGCAAACTGCGCGACATTGAGCTCATCTGCCAGGAGCACGAAAGCGAAAACAGCCCTGTTATCTCGGGCATCATCGGCATCCTTTATGCCACTGAGGTGAGTGTCCCCTTCCCAGGCCCATGGCCCCACTTTGGCCTGGCCCTAAATCCACAAGCAAGCCAGCGCCAGAAAGGACCCCGGAGAGCATTTACTGATGAAGAGAGAGGTGATGTCACCTTCCTCGGGGTGCACACAGCCATTAGTGGGGAAAGCAGGGTGCTGGGCTCCTGGACCCCAGTTCCTAAGCCACTTGTCCAGCCTGATGCCCCCCCCACCTGACCCAGCCTCCGGCTCACCACTCTCCTCTCCCTTCACCTCCAGGAAGGGTTTGCACCCCCTGAGGACGATGAGATTGAAGAACACCAACAAGAAGACCAGGACGAGTACTGAGGGCGGCGCCAGCCCTGGCTGACTGTGCGGCTTCCTTCCGTGCCCCCCTCCCTGCGCCCGCCCCACATTACAGTCCTTTCCTTCAGCCAGTCGGCCGGCCGGGTGCTTTGTGTCAGTGCCGCAGCATTGGGGAGCCGTGTGAGGGGCTCGGGAGGATGGGGCAGGGGAGCAGGCAGAGGCTCTATCCCAGCCTCCCCCCCAAAAGTGGCACTTGCCCAGGGGGCAGAACCCCTGCCCACTCCCCACCCCTATTTATTTCCGTTGTCTCTATGCTGTGTCAGCCAACACTTCCCAGGGTGCTGCTGCCACCCGCCGAGCCAGCCACCTGCTCCCCGAGAGCCAGCAGCTGTATATTTGACAAAGTCATTGGTATATTTTTACTTACTGGATTGTCCTTGCACTTTACCTGTTCTTTTTCCAGGGCTGACAGCGAGCTCGGGGCAGCAGGCCTGGCTTGGCTCCCCTTCCCCATGCCAAGGCTGGGGCAGGACTCACCAATTCTTATTTATTTTGTCTCTTGACCTCCCAGTAGTTGAGGGGAAGGCTGATGTCAGGAGAGGAAGGGGGCCGAGGTGGCAGTGCTGGGGGCCCAGGGATCAGGGAGAGGGAGGGGAGCATGTGAGGGACAGAAGTGACCTCCTGGCACTGGGCTTACCCGCCCAAGACCCCTGCCCAGCACCGAAGGCCAGCACTGCCCCAAGGCCCTAGCCATCCCCTCCTGCAGCCTGGTCCACACCACACAGAATCTGCCTGCCCCCCCCTGTCTGCCCCCCCACCCTGCCCCTCAGCACCAGCCTGCATATGTGTTCACTTTTATTTAAATAAACTTGTGTGGTAAAAGTTCCATGTTGCCCTCCGTTGAGCCACAGCCTGGTCTCAGGGCTCATCACCTCCTGTCCTTGCCCCTCCGTGAGGTGCTGGTCATGCCACCATCAGTGTCAGCAGAAAGCGCTGTTGGTGCTGGGCTCTGACATGGCCCTTTTCCCAACACCTGTGACAGGATTCTAAGGGAACATGAGCGGCCCCAGCGGCCCCTTCCTGAGGAGGAACAAAGTCCAGAGCTACGGCTGTGACGATAGGCAGTCTGGAAAGTAGCCGAGGTGTCATGGGGAGGAGGGGGCTGGCCAAGAGGTGCCACGTTGCAGCCTCCCGTCAGCAGTTGGACTGCATGTTGACCCCAGCCTGTCAAAGCTCGCACACCTCACACAGTGCTCACACAGTGCTGCTGCTGCCCACAGGGTTCGCGTGACAGCGAAAACTGGGAAGGCACAAAGAGCAAGCAGCCCTGAGTGCTGAAGCCCAAAGGGTAGCAGCGTCCAAGTGACTCCTATAGCACATGGAGCAGGAAGGCTGGCAGCTCCCATGTCGCCTTCACAGCCCCACATTCCCAGGGTGTACCTGGCAAAGGACCACGACAGCCAAGGTTCTGAAACTCATCATGGACCATGAGCACCTCAGGGTCACCAAGGCCACCTTCACAAGTCATGACTTGCTCCCAGTGACAGAAACCTGGACGAGAATTCAGACCTCTAGGCTCGTGGTTCAAAGCTCCTCCCAGAAACTACAGAGGTGGGACCTCAGGGTGCTCCTCTAGCTACAAGGGAGCCCTGGCAGACGTTTCCTCGCCATCCTTAGTGTGACAGATGCAGCTGGGGCTATGTCTCTGTTACGGCCTGGCCCCGGGCGCCATCTTCAAGGCCGCCACCCATTCCCAGTGATTCCAGATCAAGCCTTACATGAGCGATCGTATGTGCTCACTTCTTACTGACTTCACTTCCCTTCGACTCCCACTCCCACATAGGTGGATACGGGTGGCCTTGTTCTGTTTTTCTGCAACAAGTTTCTTGTCCTGCTTTTATTTATCCTGGCACTTTTTAATTCCTTTGCTTAATATTAAAAGATGTCCCCTCCATTTTCCAGGTAGATACTAAGATAAGGGAGTCATTCTGCAGTGCTCAATGTTGGCAAAGTGTGTGTGGCAAGCAGAACAGTGCTGCCTCTAAAGATGTCCATGTCATAGTCTCATGAGTATGTGAGGTTACACACAAAGGGGAATTAAGGTTGCAAGAGGAATATAGCCTGCTATTCAGAAGACCTTAAAATAGGGAGAGTATCCTGAATTACCTGTGAGGCCCTGATGTAATCACAAGCATCTATAAGAGTAGAGGAGGACAGGACAAGAAGACAGAGTGATATGATGTGAGGGTCTCGTAGCCAGCTGTTCCTGGCTTTGAAAATGGAGCCTCGAGCCAAAGAGCACAGGTAGCCTCAAGAAGCTGAGAAAGGCAAGAAACCGCATTCTCCCAGAGCCTCCAGAGGCACACAACCCTTGATTTCAGTCCAGTGAGACGCAAGTCAGACTTCAGCCCTCCAGAGCACTCAAAAAATGCGTGTTACTTTAAGCCACTAGGTTTGGGGCAATTTGTTACAGAAGCTATAGTGGCAAATAGTACTCAGCGACACCCTCTTTTTGCACCATGCTGAACACCCATCTGACCTCCTTGGTCCAACATCTTTTGGGTCTTCAACTGTCATGTGAATATCTGCTCACACCCACTACCATGGCTAATGTCTAAGGTTTCACTTGAAATACCTAAACCTGGCAGATGGAAAACTCCTCCCTGTGTCTTTCTAGCACTTCATATTAAATGTATCACTAAGTGTGAATGTATAACACTCATAATGTATCAGACTTAAAATGAATGTAAATTTCTATTTCTCTTCCTCATGAGCAAGTGAGGTGTATCCCTGGCTGCACCTACTACCATAGGGCTTGACTGAGAGAAGTTACCCAGGAAATGTTGCCAGATACATACATGCACAGCTCCTACCCACCACGTTCCACGTTACAGCAGATAACCTGCCAGACCATTCCAGTGAGGGATGGGAAAAAACCCTCCCCATCCTCCAGTCTCCGTCATGGAGTCCCACCTTTGCCCCGATGGAGAGGTGGTTCTGTGTCCCTTCTGAAAACAGCCTCTTCTGTGATCACACACATGATACAGCAGCGGTCAAATAAAGAAGAGGTATTTTGGGAGCAAAGCTAAACCAGTAATCTGGAAAACACTGATCAGTGATTGGCTCAAATACTGTACATTCCTTGACAAAAGCATTCCATTTCAGGGATTCCAAAGGCAAAGTCCAGCTTGGTCAGGTTTAATGGAGCTATGGGTCATTTCCCACCGCCTTCCTCCTTCTCAGCCCATCCCTTACACAACCCCATTTTCCTTCCCAAAACAATGAATCATGCTGCTTTCTCACTGGCTTTCCTGGGCCTGAAGGATGAAGTCCAGATTTGGCCAGCAAGGCCCTTGGCCTATGGGCTCACGTGCATTCCAACTTCATCATCTCCAAAATCCCATTAAACACTGGCACACTCCGCAGTTCCTACCCTCTAGGCCTTGGTTTGCATTAATGGATTCAGCCCCACCCAGTGGGGCATGCACCCTTAGTCCCAGCTGCTTGGGAGGCTGAGGCAGGAAGATAATATGAGCCCAGCGGTTCCAGACCGGCCTAAACAGCATAGTGAGCCTCATCTAATATAGAAGAAGGAGAAGGGAGAAGAACAAGAAGAAGCCACTCATATAATGGAAGTGTTCTCTACACCAACCAATGAAAATTACCTCATTCCTCAGGACCCATCTCAACTGCCATTTCCTTTAGAAAGCTCCTGCCCTAATCTCCTTCCTAAGGACATCATCAGTCCCTCCGCTTCACATTCTGTACAAATTTGAACTCTAGTACAGGTAAAATATCTACTTTATACTGCAGAATAACAGGTATGACTCACAACATAAAAATAAACGTACACAAAATAGCACATGCCATGATCCTCCCCTGCTAGGAGCTGCAAAGCTCCCTGGGGAGAAAGAAACTGCCACCAGGCATGATGGTGCATGCTTGTAATCTTAGCACTCAGGAGGCTGAGGTTGGAGGATCCACTCGAGTTCAAGGCCAGCCTGGGCTACATAGTGAGTTCAAGACCAGCCTGGACTACAGAGCAGGACCCTGTCCTAAAACAAAACAAAAAAGTGCGACGGATCCACCCCAGGATGGTGAGCGGCTGAACAGGAACGTGCCTGCCCATTCCTGAGCTCAGGGGCTCTCCATCACTGCCTTGCCACTTCTGGAACACGGGATGGGCACCGTGCCTGCAGCCAGAGCCTGTTTCCTGCTGTCCCAGGGTTTGCTCAGCCTCCCACGGGAGGGACCCCATTAGAGCCCGCCAGGCCTCTCCATGTGTGGCCCTCCCAGCACTCTGCCTCTCCCCAGGCCCTGTCCTCTTCCTTGTCCTTTCGCAACAGATTTTTTATTGCCCATCAAACCTAAAGTTCAATCACTAGCAAAAGAAATAATGGCGCTTTCCTAGAATGAAAGAAGCATTTAATCTTCAAACCCTTCCTAGGTGAGAGCGTTTCCATTCCATCCTGCTAGCGCCACAGGACAGTCAAGGAAAATGAGAGAGGCCCCATTTCCAGGGCAGGAACGCAGAGGCCTCGGCGCAGCAGGTTGCAGCCGGAATCTGCGGGTTCGCGGGCCACCGCGGGGCTGAGCCAGGCGCCCCGCGAAGCCTACGAGTCCCAGACTGCCCCGCGCGGCGGCGGCGGCGGCGGCGGCGGAGGGG